AAAAAAAAAAAAAATTTTGTCAAAATAAAAAATATTTAATGCAAAACAACTTGGCGCGGCTGCACCTCAAATATAATGAACTGAAATTCTTATATGCACGGCAGTCTGATACTTACATGTGCACATGTAAAATATGTCTGTCTGTAGATAAATTTTTGGTGCAGCTGCGTCAAGTTGTTTTGCATTAAATATTTTTTATTTTGACAAAATTTTTTCTTTTTTTTTTGTTTTTCACGGAAAGTAAAGTTTTGCTGGGTCTACTTGTTAGTTTTACTACAAATCCTTTTGCTAATTTAATAGGCCCAGACAATTCTTTCTTTCAAAATTTTTTCCGTAACGAAAACTTAACAAAATAGTTATGTATACTTAGATTAGGATAATAATGTACAAAAGTACAAACGTACAAAATTTACTTGGTGCTACTTTGTGATATCACTTTTTTTGTAAAACGAGTTTTTAGAGAAAGAATGTTTTGTAGTATATAATTGTTGTAAAACAGGTTTTATAGAGAAAAAAGTTTTTGGAGTATAAATAAAAAAATAATTTAATTTATACAATACGTGTTGTGCGTGTACTTGGCGCCTGTTTTTACCTTTTTTTGAAAAGGTAAGTTTTTAGAGTACAATATACCTTACATGTTACTTCTTTCTAACTTACCAAGAGGATTATATTTATCAATTAATGAATTTACTGCACAACTAGGCCCAAAGAATTTGATTGTTGATTTCACATGATTATTGCAGTCAATAATTTCCAGTCCACCATATCTCATAAGCTAAAGAAAAATACAGAAACTTTGTAAAAAACATGTTGCAAAATAATATTTTGTCAATTGTAATTGCTTTCATACGATAAAATATATAATTTTACTTACAGTATTGATAGGAATGATCCATCCTGCCAATGTTCCAACACCAGCAAAGCAAGCTTTCTTACCTCTAAGATCATATAGAGTTTGTACATCAGGCAGAGTACTTTTTTTAACCACTGCAACAGCATACTGAATATTTAAACCATTATCATATATTTCTTGCATTATTGGTACAAGACTGTGGTATCGCCCAGCTATAAACACTTCGCCAGGGTCTAATGTTGTTATCTGTGCCTTTTCCTGGTCCAGCATCACCATACACTCTTCCTTGTTAAAAGCTTGTTTACAATATATTGAAAAATAGCTCAAACCAAAAGACACTTTTTCGCGATCAACCGCTCTGGAAAAAGCTTGGCATTTGTTCTGTTCGGCATCGGAAACTGTGCACCATGTGAATGTGTTGTTGAGATCTAGGCCTGTCAATAAAAAAAATAGTTGGAAACACTTGTTTGAACTATTTACAGCTTGTGAACAGTCCCGACAATAATTTACATCGTGCATAGAAAATGTTTGATAAAATTACAAAACATGCAAAGATTCAAAGAACGCCATAGTTAAATTTGGTTTTATGATGGTTTTAAAATGAAGTTTTGATGTTTCGGCAAATAACTTTGCAGTACCATGATTTTGATGCAACAGCAAACTACATAGAAACACGAATATCCTATAATGTTCGAGCCACATTATTTTTTTAAACATTTTTTCCACAATCGAGCATAGACAACACCCTTTTTTGACACAACTACTCTAACCGCAATGAAGTGAACTACACCCAACAATGCTCGTGACGTAATCCATTCGTTAAGGCCTGTTCTACAATACAATCGTAAGCTGTAGGTCGTAAAAAATTGAACAATCACAGATAAATCACAGAAGAATAATCGATTGTGATTGGTCAATTTCTTACGACTTACAGCTTACGACTATATTGTAGAACAGGTCTTTCTTTTCCAACGCGCAGTAAAATTCTTTTTTCAAATTGAACGCAGTATAGCTTGTAATGCAGAGAATTCAAATCTCAAAGGTGGCACGAATGATGATATATCGTAAAGTATACATCATAAATAGTGATATTTTTCTCAGAGTGTTGTTTTCGACGAAAAAGCCGGCAAGCGTGCGAAAGCATTCACGCCTCAAATAACGGGAGTTATTTCGTCGTACTACGTAGCGACTGTGAATCTCATGTGATTCGTCGTGTTGGTCGCGTTTTCCCGCGGAAGCATCATGGGCCTAATCTCAGATCCGTTTTTATTTGGAATCGCCTTGCTAGACACCGGCTTTATATTATTTCTTCTAGTGTATTATGTATCCTTTATTATCATTATTGTATTTTATCATTTTTATTAATTTTTTATTTCATACTATTTATCGAGCAAACACACACACACAAAATTGTATGTATAAAGGAAGTTTCTTCGAAACATGCAGAGATTACTTTGCTGTTGGCAACCATGCGTAGCGCTATTTTCATATTTTGTTCACAGAGAATTCAAATGCATTAATTCATTTTAATTGTCTATTATTGCTGAATTACTGAATGACAAATATCTTCCTTGACCGACAAATGTAGATTATAACCTTGTCAGATCTTGAATGCGATTATTTGAATGCGCAAGAATGTTGTTCTAAACTAAATACGGTACTATTATAAAAGAATAAGTTGTGTACATATTAAGTTGTGTATATTACATGCGTGTGATATGAACATTTATACGATTTTGTTGTAGGGAGTGTTACCAAAGTTAGTAATGCATACGCTCTTGATATTCCTTTTGTTGACACACGGACAATTTTTGTTAACACTTGTAAACATGCCTATGACAGTCTGGCTATTCTATGAATACTTCAGTGTTCCCAGTGGAAATATGGGAGTTTATGATCCCACAGAAATTCACAATCGTAGCCAGCTGAAGAAATATATGCGTGATTGCATGATTCACCTGGGATATTGCCTTATATTCTTTTTTATTTATCTTTACTGGTAGGTATCTTGTAAATACAGAAGTAACATTTATTTATACAAAAATATGATGAAGATAGATTTAATTTTCTGTGTTCTTCAGCATGATTGTAGCATTGCTCAAGGGAGATCCCATTAACAGAAATGACGAGACCATAGTAGAGCTATGAATGTAAGAAGGATGTTGTGTATCATACTCTTTCTATATTGGTGTTCAAATGTTCTTTTATATATAAATCTAATAATTTACATATATATATATGTATATATATATATATACACATATATATATATGTATATATATATATATATACACATATATATATATGTAAAATTTCTTTGATATATCTAATATATAATATTAATATATTAATTTATTTAATATGTAATATATATAAATATTATGCTTTTTTCATTAATGCTTTAATAAATAATAGATTTAATATAACTCTGTTATTTTTACTTGAAAATATTTTTTGTGCATTGTAATTGCAAAATATTACATAGAACATTTTTTATTTAGCAACTCATAAACCTATATGTATATACATAATTTATAATTCGCAAATATCTAGAAAAATAAAATTGTATCCATAAGTGAAAATATTGTATAATTTTAAATAGTGAATATTAAAGCATTAATGATACTTTCTTACTTTTGTCTCATGTGTTTGTATTGTTTAAACTCTGAAATTATTCGATTATTTTTTGACACATTTAATTTCTATTTATTATAACATGGATGTTGATGCAAAATCTCAGACATTTGTCACTCTGATCTATGCGTTACATTATATAACATTTTGATGTTTGTTTTTATACGAATCCTTAAAAGTCTATTATTTCATTAAAATGATAAATCTAACAAAATAAAAATACAAATATTATACATGTTTACAGCTGGATACATATAGATATCGCCATGCTGGTCATACATGTAACTCATGTAAATGATTGTAAAGAATCTAGTCGTAAAACCTAAGTAAAATCTGTGTTTTAGCAAGAATTGGCTTTCTAAGATATAACGTAACTGTAATATTTTATTACATTTTATTTTACAAATAAAAAACAAATTCTTGATAATTATCTCTTTTGAAGGATCTAAAGTTGTATTGAATATCAGAGTAAAGAACGTGGCGTGCATGCGCGCGCGCGCGCGCATATGTGTATACTCTCAAAACTCTTCCTTTTACTCTGAAAATAATCGCATCTACCTTAAATTTCTGTTAAAAATAGCAATAAATGGATTTATAAATAATTACTCTGTATGGTCATATCTAAATAATTTTAAGATTTTAAGATTTTAAGATGACATCGAGTCTTTCACTTCACAGAATTCAATATATAACAGTTTTATATGACAAAATATAAAATTTATTATATATTTTAACAAAAATTAAGAAAAAATAAAGAATAAAATAACAACATGTAAAAATAGTATTAAAAAAATGAAACATAACGAAAAAAATATGAATCAGGGCTCGTCCGGGATTTGAACCCGGGACCTCTCGCACCCGAAGCGAGAATCATACCCCTAGACCAACGAGCCATGTAACGATTTACGTTTATTTATCAATCTTAAGTAAAGTGTACGATTTATATGTACTGTTTAATTTTTTTGTGTATTTATGAACACAATTGGAGTTCTGCTATATTTATATGTTTTCATTAAATTGTTTAGTAATATTTTATAATTATTCACTTTTATCATGGTATTCTAAAACTTGGTGATTCTGAATTTATTTTGTGAATATAAGTAAGTCGAACCTCCTAAAACGTATATAGTCGGGACCGACGAGCCTCCCAAAACGTAAACTTCCCTTATTTCCTCACTCTTTATCTCACGCATGCGCAAAGACTTACTTAGTATAAATTCATCTCGCGCTAGCGCAGTTTCGATTGTAATCATACTTAGTGGTGAGAAAAATATACGTTTTGAGAGTGGATTTGTATACGTTTTGGAAGGTTTGACTGTATTCATAGAGATAAAAAAAGGCTTAAATAACCATGATTTTAAAAGTCAACAATTTTTGAGTTTGTGTATAATTATAATATATGTAATACACACATTCTATCAAATCTCAACATATATTTACAAATACACAATTAAAAGTACAATATTACAATTTAAACCAATTCTTTTTTGTGCATACTTAACAAATTTATTTTTCTCATTAAAATACATTACAATTTTTTCACATATAAATTTAAATAAATATTTTTACAATACATTGATAAAATAATTATATAATCGCGTTAGAATAGAATAAGACATATGGACATATGTACTACATGGAAAATTAATAATAAACAAGTTTTTGTAATATATTTTTTAATATATATTTATTCTTGTAATATATATATTAAAAAATATATTACAAAATTACAAATTATCATAATATATTACATAATTATATGTAATATATATATTAAATCTTGTAATATATATATTATGTCTCTGTGTATTTTTGTAATATATATATATTCTTTTAATGTAAGAGAAAATTATTTTTACAAAAATAATAGTTGAACTATTGAATACAGATGTTACAGTCACAAATACATCTTTTTTCAAGCAATAATATGCAGAAATCTGTGCATTAAATTTTTCGGAGTAACTGTAACTGCTGTGTATCCGTGTTTTTGGAACAACAACTTTGATAATCTTAAAATCACTTTAAGCTATTAGGAAAACTTCGGGAATTTATTTATTTATTTTTTCTACGTATCTCTGACTTACTGAATCACTTTACTTATTATATATTTCAACAATTTAATTACAAATATTAATCCTTTCCTCACTGTTAATAAATCTAGAACAACATTCTCTTTGGCAATATTTTTTTATTTATTTTATTAAATATGTATAATTTTTATAATTTCTAAGTGTTAGTTTCTTCAATAACTGTCTTATATTAATAATTAAAAACATCGATTACAAAAAGTGTACTAGTGACGTTACTTTATCCAAATTCATAATTATGAGGCACGTAATGTCTTAGTATTTTTAAGTAATACTTGATAAATAAATTACGTTTCTATATATCTACACGCAATATAATTGTTTTTTTAAAGGTAGCACGCTTTCTTGTTAGCAAGAAGATAGGAAGTTATTGCGTTGAGAAGTTTTTACATTTAGTATTATTTTATATTTGGTATAGTTTTTGAACAATTTTTTGCGATATTATGCGAATAATATTGTGAAATTAAAAAAGATAAAAATGATTGTACACGAAGAATATACGCAAAAATCACGAATAATCGATACAATCAAAAAAGATAAAAGTAAAATTGAAGACAAAATTCTAATCAGTAAGGAGAGGATCATGGTATAAATTTTCTAGACTTACATAAATATTTAACGAAATTGTAAACGACACATTTATATGTATGTCAATTAGAAAATTTGCACAATCATGTAAACCACCAAAAGAAAGATGAGGAACACAATATAACACGATGATAGGCACACTAGTAATTGGCAAAAACAGTTCTAAAGTCTCTCATTCTTGATTCATTATGATATGATGATGACTTAATATCGATTGGCGGCTTACGATGCAAACTTTTTATCAGATGTAGCTAATGTGTAATATTACATAATATACACACCATACATATATTATTATGCTTTACTATATATACTTATTGTTCTACTAGGCGCATATATAATGTCTAGAAACTCTAGAATAATATCCTAGTGTAACGAGTTAGTAAAGAGAGACAACAATTAATAAAAACAAAGGCCAGAACAAGTGTGTGTGTGTGTGTGTATATATGTGTATATATATATACACATACATGTGTATTATCAGTTGAGGCCAAATTTCTTCACTTGCATTCAGGGATTGAATAAAACTGTAAATTTGTATAAAAGAAAATTATTTAAGAACTTTTAACTTGTAGAAACGTTTTTCGTTTTAAGTTACATTATCGTTCAATCGTTCAATCCCTTGCATCTTGTTTAGTGTATAAAGTTACATCTATATGAATTTTCTTAGTATTTCTATTACCAGCCTATTGCGGAAGGAACACGAGAACCCACTGTGAAGTCCTTATATTGAGAGAAGACGCATATCTAGACAAAGATATATTTTCGAAAAGCCTATTATTTCATCAATTTTATTATTTCGACAGAAATTTTTGCAATAATAACAGACCTTATCTTTCAGTCGTTGACAAAGTTGCAAAGCGATAGTAAGCAACACGAGGGCGTCATTCAGCCACGGGACACTACATTCAGCCTGTTGTGTTTCGTACTTGACACTGCCGTGAGCGTTTTCTAACTGATAGATAGCCAGCACCAGTTTATAGCTCTGAATATAAAAACTAATAGCCAAATTCTCTGGAAGGTTTGGATTAAGAGATTTCTGTAAACGTAAAAAATTCTACAATAATCATGAGAAGTTTTGCAGCAATATTATAGCGAGCAAAAATAAAAAAGAAATCTTTCTTATTGTATGTACCATATTTCGACTTTTTATGAGATCATCAATTGTCTTCTTTCTAGGAACGATTAAACTGGTCCTACTCCTCTGAAGACAACCCAAAATGTTACCTAACACATGCATAACTTCATCGGATGTTTTGAAGAGATAGTGTCTATCCACATTATCTATGTGTGCTATTCCCTGCTGCAAGTGATTAGCAGCATCCTGAATTTGTTGCAATTTCCATGGATGTTCACTCTGAATACTTGTTCTCATATGAACATTCTGTTGTCGTTGTACTTTAAAATTTACTTCCTGTATAAAGTAGACATTTTTTAATATTGCAAAATGATTAATATAATAATGTGCAGATTTAATTAAAAAACTGTTGATTTTACAGATAACTAAATACAAAAATTGTAGAATAAAGTTTTTCACTTGATTTCAATAATGTGATTTTAATTGAATTCTTTACCGCATTTGTGATACTATCGCCTGTTAATACAGCAACACATTTGACTTGATCGTGAGGAGCAGTAAAAACAAATCTGTCAGTTTTGTTATGTTGATCGTTACCAAAGAGAGCTAATGGAAAACGCTGAGCACATTCCTTCAAATAAAGAATATGTAACAATCACATGTTAGCATATGATTAATATATACAAAAGCAATGTGAATAAAACATTTTAATGTGTGTGTGTGTGTAATATAGAAAATATATACGAATATTATATGATTTGTTGATATGTATACATACCATTAGGATATTTCGAAGTTGAGATAACGAGGAGTGCACCTCTTCATGGAGCACCCACTCAAACTCCATTTGCTAAAAAAGAAAAAACAGAAAGAAACATAAAGCATTAAGTTGCTACTTTGAAGTATCTATATATTCTTTATTATACACAAGACAATGTTCAAAAAAATTTGAAACGAGATAACCTCAAATTCATCGTTTATCACGAAATATGCGCGTGATTAGTTTATATAAACATTCTTATCTCACGACAAGCGTGACACAAATATAAGATCGTCTAATGATTAGATAAACGTTAAGTAAAGGTAAATAGCTTACAAGATTGTGCGCCTCCTCCTTTTCACAATCCGCCATTTTTTAGCTGGCGAGTGGCGTCTGCTATTTAAGTCATAGGGCATGTGCATTTATAGCATACATACTAGAAATTTCAAGATATTCGAAGGTTTCCATGATGTAAGTATATCATAGGTCTGTTCTTTTTACCTGAACTGGTTACACTAGTTCAGGCCGACGTCCCATTGAGCGGAAATCTATAGCGGAACGGAATGTGCGGAACCAGCTCGACCAATCATAGCCATTCCGTTTTCTTTCCTTCGCTTATTCCGTGGTTACGATTGGTCGAGCTGGTTCCGCACATTCCGTTCCGCTATAGATTTCTGCTCAATGGGACGTCGCCCTCAGAGTTTATCTCACTGAACTATATATAGAACGCGCCTTGCCATTGTGCGAGCTGTCCGCGATAAAAAGCATCACAGGCCTGTTCTACAATACAGTCGTAAGCTGTAAGTCGTAAGAAATTGACCACTCACAATCGATTATTCTTCTGTAATTGATGTGTGATTAGTCAATTTCTTAAAGAGTCGTCTACAATGAAGAGTTGTAGGCCGTAACAGTAAGAAATTGACAAATCACAATCGATTATTCTTCTGTACTTTGTCTGTGATTTGTCAATTTCTTACTATTACGGCCTACAACTCTCCATTGTAGACGGCTTTTTACGGCCTGTTCTACAATACAGTCGTAAGCTGTAAGTTGTAAGAAATTGACCAATCACAAATAAATCACAGAAGAATAATCGATTGTGATTGGTCAATTTCTTATGGCTTACGGCTTACGACTGTATTGTAGAACAGGCCTACGACTTACAGCTTACGACAGTATTGTAGAACAGGCCGAACAGGCCTGAGGCCTAATCACCTTGACTAATCACAAACCGATTACAGAAGAATAATCGATTGTGATTGGTCAATTTCTTACTATATCTCTGTTTTTGTCTCGTCGTCGCTGATTGGTTGAAATTTATACGAGTACAGTTCAAGACAAAAAAACAACGAAAAGCAAAGAATGACTGTGGCTGCTTTTCTTTTAGGAGACACAAGTCTAGTTTCCACCAAAGCATTAATTCCCACCTAATGCGACGTAGAATCAAATTCAAGTCGATGGAAACCTGTCAAATTGCGCCGATTTTACTTCCGCTTCGATCTATAAGGCTTGGTTTACGCGGGCAGTAACTGTTAATTTATGCCAGAACCGGTAGAGTTTAACCATAGGATTTTAATACTTCTGTTTAGACCTGGTTTATGCGGGCAATAACTGATCTAGTTTCCACCGAAACCCTCAATTCGGTTCCACTCCGGTACAGATCAAATTTAGTGTTCCGTTTCCATTGGAAGTAGAATCAGAGAGAAATCTGAGAGCGGCCATTCTATTGTAATTTTTTACGACGGTTTCAGCCGCTGGTTTAGCCGTATTTCCACAAAAGTGGAACTCAAAGGCCGTTCTACATTAAACGCAAGTATCTGATCTCGTGGAATTGACCAATTGCAGAGTCAAATCAGCCAATCGACCAACGTGATTGATCAGTTCCACGAGACCTGCGACTTGAGTTTCATAGAGAACGGCCTTTGAGTTCCACTTTTGT